CCATTGTTGCCACTCGCGAGCGGGTGTCCCCCTAAGCGGGTGTCCGCGCGGATAAGGGTAGCCGTGCATGAGTCGTCGTGGTCTCGTTAGTTTGCTTGCACTCTGCGGAGCCACCTGACGCTTGGGATCCCCTCTTCCTCCTCCACTTCTCCACCTCCGTCCTCCTCTCCTCCGTCCTCCTCCTCCTCCTCCTCCTCCTCCTCCTCCTCCTCCTCCTCCTCCTCCCTCTCCTACCTATGGTACTACCTATGGTAGCGGTGGTGGGAAATCGGCCCATCAGCAAGTGAGGGCAGCGGCGGTGGCGGTGTGGCGGTGATCTCATGGCGCCCGGCCTTTCTCCTCCTCCGTCTTCCTCCTCCTCCTCCGTCCTCCGTTCTCCGTCCTCCTCCTTCTTCCCCTCCCCCACGCGGCTGCGCCGCCGAAGGCCGCCGACAGGCCATCCGACGCGGCGGCCGCGAGGCTCCCGCGCGCGTCCCTGTCGTGCCGCCTATGTCGTCGTCGTCGTCGTCGTCGTCGTCGTCGTCGTCGTCGTGGGGCGCGCGCGCGTCTACCCTTGTTGGCACCTGGAGGCTAAAGGAAGGTCCAGACGCCGCGATTGAGAAAATCGCACCTCTGAAGGTCTGGGGCTGCTGTCAGGTCCCGCCCCTGGTAGCACCCGCGGCCACTCCTGGACCAGAGAGTTGGAGGAGGAGGAGAAGGAGGAGGAGGAGGAGCAGGAGGAGGAGGAGGAGGAAGAGGAGGAGGAAGAGGAGGAGGAAGAGGAGGAAGAGGAGGAGGTGAAGGAGAAGGCGGAGGAGGAGGAGGAGGAGGAGGAGGAAGTGGAGAAAGAGGAAGAGGATGAGGAGGAGGGCCATGTTGCCCCTGCGAAGGCGCACCTTGTCACCCGTTCTAAGGGGGGCCGGCCCCAGCGCGCCGCCGCCATGGCGGCGCGCGTGATCAGCCGACGCATTACAGGCGGGCAATGATAAAATCTGCCACCAGCTGGCGATACACAGGCTGAGGAAGATCATCCATCAGCTGGCGAATTATAAACTGGACGTTCACAACATGGGCTACGAGACTTGCTCACCTAGGCGGAAGCAACAGGCAAGCGTGCCGAGAAATCGAGTTATCTCATCCGACACGGGCTAGAACCACGCCTCAACGACAGCATGACTATCGCTACGACCGCTGTCATGATAACGTCCACTGCAGGACGGGATAGTTGCGTAGCATGCAGCCGGTGGTATTGCTGCGTCACATGCAACCCAAGGAAGAGCTGCGTAGTAGGCAGCCGAAGTACGACGCAACGTACGCCACCGAAACCGACACCAACAAAACCACGGCCGAGCAGCCCGAAAAATGTAAGGACGTCGTCGTGGAGGTACCAGTGGAGAGCGGCCGCGCCGCCTTTGACGAGTACGACAACGGCCGCGCCGCTTAAGACGAGCACTACTAGGACAGTGCTATCGATAACGACCTGTACTCCTACGACCCGCAGGAGTGCGACGGACCGCAGGGCTGCGACAACCGCCAGGGCTACAGGGATACCGTGAACGTAGAGCACTACGACTTGGCAGCCGACGACTCCGATTCGGACCCTGGGGACTACGAAGGGAGCGTGCCTTTTGAACTGCTACAGCCGCCAGCAGAGCTACCAGGGCCACCAGACGACCTTCGGGAATCACGCGCTGGACTACGAGGACCACGCGCACAGTTAAGAGAGCCACCAGAACAGCTAGTCCCACGTGCAGAGCGACGCGACCCGCCAGCAGAGCCACGAGAACCGCAATCATAGCTACAAGAGCCACAACCGTAAACACTGCAGGACCCACTTGATGCGCCGCGAGAGCCTCCTGCCGAGCCACGAGAGCCGCAAGCTGAGCAACGAGGACCGCGAGCGCAGCCACGAAATCCACACGCAGGACTACCAGAGTTACCAGCTGAACCGCGAGGACTGCCTTCTGCGCTACGAGGGCCACCAGCTGAGCTACGAGTATCACTGGCTGAGCCACCGAAAGCACCAGCTGCGCTACGAGGGCCACAGGCACAGATACGAGAGCTACGAGGGCTACCTGCTGAGCTTCCATGGCCACAGCCAGAGCCACGCGGACTGCAGGAAGACCTATCTGACCCTGTTGCAGAGCGACTGCGAACGCTTCCCGCAGCGCAGCCAGGGCGACGAGCTGAACTGAAAGGACCACCTGCTGAGCAAGGACAGCCATCAGCTGAGCTACGAGGACCACGCGGCGAGCTAGAGGGACCCAGCTGACTTGCTAGAGCTACGAGGGCCACATTCTGAGCTACCAGGGCCACAACCAGAGCTACGTGGACGACAGGAAGAACGACAGCAGCCTCCTGCAGAACTTTGAGGGCAACGAGCCGAATTTCAAGGCCCAACGCAGATCTCCGAGGACCACCGCCTCATCTGCAAGGGCCACCCGCGGAGCTACGAGGGCCGCAGCGAGAGACACCGGCAGAGTCACGAGGGCTGCGAGCTGAGCTGCGAGGACGACGGGCGCAGCTACGAGACCGACGAGGGCCACCTGCTGAGCTACGTGAGCCAGAACCAAAGCTACGCGGACTACAGGAAAACTTACCAGAGTGGGGCGACGAGCTGAAGTACACGGACCAGAAGCAGACTTCCGAGACCCACCTGCTGAGATACGAGGGCTTCCGCCAGAGCTACGAGGGCCACAGCTTGAGCGACGCGGGCCACAAACATATTTACCCCAACTATGAGGGCAACCAGCTGAGGTACGACGTCTACGAGGGCCACCAGCTGCGCGCCATGACGATCTGAATCGCCAGCTCGCTGACGGATGGGCGAGTAGGAAGGACAAGTCCGGCATGACGCATCATTGCCACGGGGCCACAGAGCAGACGCTGTGGCCGCCCCCTCTACCAGAAGACGAAGTGCAGCAGCCAGCTTCCCTACCACCTGGCAGGGGCAGCTACCTCGACCAGCAGGGGCGATGCTACTACCACCACGCGGCCCTGGAAATGATGACGTGGAAGCTGCCGCCCAGATACAGGGGCCACTAGCAGACGAGGTCCGCCGATACTCCTCTCCGCAGCTGCCTTAAGAAGCCAGCTCAGCCAGCTCAGCCACCAGAGCTACCAGCAGAATAACGAAGACAACGAGCTGAACGACCGCGAGGCCGGCTTACCTGAAGCCGCTGACGATGGCAGCCCATCGTACGTAACCGAAGGCCTGGGACGCACGACGTCTACAGCTCTGCGGACACGGTGCGCCGTGTACAACCTTACGCTCAAGGTACGCCGTCTTCGGTACGAGCTACGACGTCTTTTGAGCGGCCAGCCTCTCCCTCCCACCTCCCGTCCTTCGAAAAGTAGGTTGCAGGAAGGACAGGTGGCATCCCCTTGACCCCCATCGGCAATGGCCCCCCGATGGTGTCCGGGAGGCCCCGCGCGCGCGGGCGCGGACGCGCGCGGACGCGGAATGATGATGATGAGGAGGAGGCGGAGGAGCAGGAGGATGAGGACAAAAAGAACAAGATGGGAGGTGGGGGGCGGGAGGTGGGAGGGGGAGGAGGGAGGGGAGGAGACGGAGGAGGGCGGGTGAGGAGGACGTGGAGGAGGACGAGGAGGATAGGAGCAGGAGGAAGAGGGGGGAAGGAGGAGGAGGAGGGAGAAGGAGAGGAGAAGGAAAAGGATGAGGAAGAGGAGGAGAAGGAGGAGGAGGAGAGAGGAGGAGGAGGAGGAGGAGGACAGGAGAGAAGGAGAGGAGGAGGAAGGAGGAGGAGGAGGACAAAGGAGGCGAGAGGGGAGGAGGAGAAGGAGGAGGAGGAGAGGAGGAGGAAGGAGGAGAGGGAGGGAGAGGAGGAGGAGAGGAGGAGGAGGAGGAGGAGGAGGAGGAGGAGGAGGAGGAGGAGGAGAGGAGAGGAATGAGTAGGAGGAGGAAGAGGACAGGACGAGAAGGAGGACCACAGTAAACCCAAGATCCGTCATCGCTGTCGCAAGAATCCTTCCCCCAAGTCCCCTTTCCATTGCTTCTTACTAGAAGGATGCACTTTCGTGCGGGAAGTTTTCCGTTGGGAAAACAAGCGTCTGAAAATCTCGGACCGTGCCAAAGCACCATTCCTGGGACTTCAACCTTGCGAATCAACGTAAGTGTTGCGACCTGACGATCCCAAAATCGTTCCGCATTTTGTGAAGCCAGCGCCGCGGATCAACGTACCGTGGCATTTCTAGAACAACAGCATTGCTTGAGAGCGCTGTGAACTGTGCAAGGCTGCGCGCGGCGCTAAGGGGAGAGCCACATTTAGAAAAGGAACCGCCCTCCATCCGTGAAGCTTCTGCCAACTTGTATGACGAATGTGCGCGGCGCTAACGCGAGAGCTACATGTTGAAAGCGTCCCGCCTTCCATCCTTGAAACTGTCGCAAACGGCGCGAACGCGAGAGCTACATGTTGGAAGCGGGCCGCCCTCCACCTGTGAAATTGTTGCCAGCTTTCAAAATTAAAGCTCGTAGATGGTAAGGAGGTCTCGGGCGAACCGCCTGGCCCACCCTCGGGGTGCTATACGGAGGCGTTGCTCATGAGGAACAAGGATGGAGGGCAGGAGGAGGAAGAGGAGGAGTTGGAGGAGGAGGAGGAGGAGGAGGAGGAGGAGGAGGAGGACGACGAGAAGAATAGGATGAGGAGGAGGAGGAGGAGGAGGAGGAGGGAGGAGGAGGCGGAGGAGGAGAGGGAGGGGAGGAGGGGAGGAGGAAGGAGAGGAGGAAGAGGAAAACGAGAGGAGGAGAAGGAGGAGGAGGAGGAGGAGGAGGAGTTTGGGCCAGGGCCCGGCCCTGGCAGCGCCCGCGGGCACCTCCGCGGCCGTGCCCCGAGCCGAGCCGCGGCCGCGCGCCGCCCCCCCCCGCGAGCCCTCCGCAGCCGCCTCCGCGCGGGCCGCGGCGGCCCGCGCCGTGTCGTCCTGCGGCCGCTCCGCCGAGCAGCGGCTGCGGCGGCGACCCTCCGCGCCGCCGCCGCGGGCGGCCGCGGAGGGCCGTCGGCCCTATGGCGGCGGCCTCGGGCGCGGCGCCCAAAGGCGCCGCAGCGGCGGGCGCGCGCGGGGGGCGGGGGGGTCTCCTGCATAGGCGGTCCACGACGTGCCCCAAAGTGTGCCGCCACACGCAGCAAACATCAGCCGGGATGTTGCAGCCCGCGTTTCATCATCCATTCCACGGCTTCTTGACGGTGTCTGGAGCGGGCGGCGGACTGGCCTCCTCGCGTCGGAAGGGTGTTGTGCAACCTTCGGCCTCCAGAGGCCCTCGTGGCCCCAGGGCCCTCGGAAACTTGCTCGGGATGAGAAGCTGGCGAGTGCTGCTGCAGGGCCCCTCGGCGGGCGCTCGGGGCATTGATCATGGACGCCAGAGCTGTCTGGCCGCGGCCGACGAGATCGGTCGCCACCGACTTTGCTTCGCATTCCAGTATCGGTGTGGCGACCGATTTGCTTCAAAGCCAGAGTGCCGATCGGTCGCTACCGATCGCGACCGAAAAACCTCTGGCATCCAATGATCTGGGGGAGAGGGGCTGGGCCCCCGCGAGCCTCTGGCCCTCTGAGGCCTCGTCGCGCTATGCAGAGAGCAGGGCGGAGGGGTTTTGAGATACAGCGGGGCCGCGCATCAAGAGGCCGCTTGTCTCTCGTCAGGGTGCGCTCGGTTTCTTCGCTTCGCGCGCTGCGCGGTGACCTCGCGCGTCTGGCAGGGCGCTCTGGACAGCCCCTCGCCGGGCCCCAGGACAGGCAAACGAGGCGCGGGATGAAACACTGGCCCTGTGGGATGGGTCGAGACCTCTGGAGGCTCCACCGGTGCGAACACAAGCAACGTCGGGGTTCCAGGCTTTCCGGGGGCCGCCAGGACGGGCACTCCCAGCAAAGGCGTGCTTCGGCAGCGCGGGGGAAATTGGCAGGAAAGGTGGCGGGAGAATGGCACCTTCGCACGGCAGGGCAGCGGCAGAAATGCACCACCTTCACGCACCGACCAGGAAGTCCCCGTCTGAGTACCCGTCCGGGTGGCGCAGGGGGGCCGTCGCGGGGGAGCCTTCTTCCAGGGACACTCGGAGGCCTTCGGAGGCCTTCGGCACGGGCGCGGGCCTGGTCCCGCCAGTTCCTGCTGGCGCTGTTACTGCTGCTCCTCGAGCGTCGAGCTTCGAGGATCGAGGCTTCTGGACGTTTTTTGCTTGTTTGGACCTCCTGGGAGCTTGTCGTAGCTACGGCTGGATCCGCCCTGGAGCTTGTGACGCTTCGCACATCCACACCGGCCCATCCAGGAGCGATCTCCACCGAGTTGCCCTGACCAGGGGTGTGTGGCACCACGTTTCCAGGAGTCCATCATTCAGGTCTTCGCGGATTCTTCGCTCTGGGTGCCTCTGCTGTTGGAGCTATATTGGGGCTCTCTTGGGGCTTCTGGGAGCCATCAGGACCCTCTTGAAGCACGGGGGGTTTCGTTGGAGCCATGATGCCGTCGATCTATGAGGGGGGGCTGAATTGCGGCCCCCCCGTCAGGGGGCCATAGAACGAATGCTTCTTGAGGCTCTCTGGGAGCGATCTCAGGGCCCTCTTGGGCGCTCTTGGGACCGTCTTGAAGCCTTCCTGTGCCCCTCTTGGGGCTCTCTTGGGTGATCATGAAACCATCTTGAGACCAGTTAAGGGCCCCGTGGTGAAACGAACCACGACGTTCCTGGCAGAATGGTTCGGTGGCTCCATCATCACGCCGTACAGCGGACATTTTGTGAATCTCGGCGCTCTGTTCCTTCTCGGGAAAGGAAGCAGCTGCAATCCTTGCGTAGTGGAAGGAGGCGGAGGTGAAGAACCATGATGACGAAGAAGTGCACTCACAGTCATCGGGGTAGCTGGGCACATCAATGAAGCATGGGTGAGGTGCAGATGCACCTGTGGTCGCTATCGCGAAGAAGTTCTGCCTCACGGGTGCGGCGTCTATGTGCGCGGAAAGTGCGACCTTTCCGATCGACATCACGAAGACGCGGTTACAGCTGCAGGGTGAGGCTGGCTTTGCGGGCTCTAGGCCTTGGGAGCCGTCCAAACCTCCTCCGCCTCTTCCTTCTCCAAGCCTTACTTAGGCAAGCCCCACGTTGTTGTCCGGCATTCGCCCTTCACTTGCATTGCGCTCGCCTGGGCAATCGACAGAATGTGCACTGGCACCGCCAGGCGATGCGGTTGCGTGTCCGTTGATGATCGCAACCGTCGTCCACGCAAAGACGATCCGATTCTCTTTGCGTGGCTGAGTCTAGCCAGCTGCCAGAAGGTCTTTCGCTCCGCTATTCAGTTGTTATGCCCTCCTTATCTTCCAGGCTAATCATGACTCACGCCACGTTTTGCTGTTCAGTGCGTTCAGGGGGCGTGTGCATGATTCATCATGCAATGGCGCACGTTGGTGGGACAGCTTTTCCAGCGATTCCTGCTTGAAGCCTTCCGGGCTGCCTCCCCCCTCACCCCTGCCTGCTTAAGCCGCAATATTTGGGCATTACGGTCATGGGGGAACCCACCCAAGCTCTTACGAGTGCACTTCGCTATAGTCGTCCGTGGCGGTGTACTGGTTGTGTTTGGTCATCGTGGGCTCACCCCTCCGATTCGCGGTCGGAGGCCAGACTGTGTCCTTTTCCCGTTTGGCCGGGTAAGTTTTCCATACTTACAAATCGTGGTGGTCTCAGTTTTCCTATGGCATGTAAGGGGTCTTAATTCTTCCAGCGGGCAATGTGTCTGAGATGTTGTCAGCCAAATCCTTTATGTAGAGTGCCAGCCGTGCGTCAGTGTCGTCAGGTTACTCCGCCCGGCAAATCCCAAGGAAAGTTATGGCCAAGCTGGAAAAGCACTTGGACACTGTTGTCTGCGATGGAGCTTCCTGTTGGGCCATGGGCAGTGTGAGGGGGCAGAGGCAGGGAGGGCGGGAGGGAGGAAGAGGAGGACGAAGGAGGAAGAATGAAGGGAGGACGCGGCGTTGAGGATTCAAAACGAGGACCCTCCAGCACAGGATGGTTAGAAATAAAAGCACGAGTGCGTACACGAAACACTGAATCACCACGTTCCGCGACGAGAAGCCGGTCCAGGGAAAGGCTTCGGGAGGTTCAGGGGCCTGCCGACTGAAGACAACACATTGTGGCACGGGAGGTCAGGGGGCGTGATGCCGATCGGGTCGCGGGCGGGGGCTGGATGTGCCCAACCCCCCCGGGCGTCGTGGAAGCATCACCTTGTTTCAACATATTTTGTCCTTGGGATTGTGTTTTCGGAGCCCAGGACAATCAGAATACGGCCTGCAATTGCGTCTTGTCGGGAATTGTTGGATATCGTGCTGCTCCGCTGGTTCTGGACCATCACGCTTCGGTGCGACATGCGATCCGTTTCCCGGCCCCCAGGCGTCAAAGTCTCGTTTTTCCCGACCTCCCGCCCCGCCGAGCGGAGCGACATGCAATGCATTCGCAAGGCATAGCGTGTCGCAGGGGTCGCCGTGGCGACACGCTAAGTGGTCCTTAGGCTGGGGGCGAGAGTTCCAGGAGCTCACATTGTGAAGAGATCACGGCGTCCACGGCGTCAAAGGTCTGGGGGCACGGGAGGTGCGGATGAGTCGACCGACCACCAGGCTTGGCTTCTCCAGCATGTTTACCACCATCTTGAGGAACGAGGGCATGGCTGGATTGTACACGGGCATGGCCCCAGCTGTTGCACGGCACATACCTTACACAGGGTTCCGCGCCATTGGATATGAGTACATCCGCACATTATTCTGTGGCGAGGATACGAGCAAGGCCAGCTTCTTCGCCAAGGCCATACCCAGTCACCATTGTGGTACATGTCGATATGTCGCCGCGCCGTTGGTTCCGATGCGCGGCCGTAAGTCTTTGAGAGGGCGCCTCGGCCACCAGGGCAAACTCCGCCTTGGGCGCAGGGCTTGCCATTGGCTTGCCGTGGTGCCGGCGTCGTCTACTTGTGCGCGGGACGCAAGGCTTGCCGTGGGTTTGCCGTGATGTCCGCGTCATCCATTTGGGCGCGTTGGGAACAAGTGGAGCGGCGACATATCTTGACCCGTCTGTCTTGCCGCTTGTTGGCCTTGAATTAGCACCTCTAAACAGCGTCGTAATATTTTTGTGTGCTGCGCTGTGCGAACGGCTGCTCGCTCGCCACCGTTGCTTCATTGGAGTCCATGTCGTCATCGTCGGCGTAGCCTTCGTCGGCGTCGTCGTCATCGTCGTCGGCGTCGTCGGCGATGGCGTTGTCGTCGTCGGCGTCGGCGTCGTCGTCGACGGCATAGGCCCATGCTTTTGATCATATTGTAGTTAGTTGGAATGGTCACCGCCGCCTCGGCCGCCACGAGTCGCCTGTCAATGCAGCCGCTGCCGTCGTCAATTGTAGGCGCCCTCAGCGGGCATTTTGCAAAAGTTGTGTGCGTGTAGTGTTGCTCGCCGACTACACGCTTGATCTCGTCTCATTCAGTCCCATCCCCACACCCCAGAGGCCTCCAGCAGATCAACATACCCACAGGTATCGTCCAGCAAGAATATATCAAACTGCCTACTGTGAGCGCCCCGCCACCGTGCCAGGACAACAGCGCAGCAGGAATGAGGTTGAGTTTACAACCCGGTCGGATCCAGTGACTTCTCGAGGGGCTCTGAAGCCGAAATGCATTGGACAACAGTGACCGTTTAGCTCCGTAGGGCCTTGTCAGAGGCCTCTTTCGGCGTCGCTTGGACCCTTCATGGGGCCTCTTGGGACATCTCGGGGAGGTCTTGGACTGGACCTTCCGACATGTCGGGGCGGTATGGGGGCGTCTCTTAGACGTTTGGGAAGATGGTTGGGTCTGTCGGAGTCGTCTAGAGGCCGAAGGGGGCGCCCGAGAGCAAGATCTTGGGAGGCGTTCTCTTGAGGATGCGCGCGAGGGGGGGGGCATGCGCATGTGGATACGGACATACATGTATATCTAGAGAGGGGAAAAGAGAGAGAGAGAGAGAGAGAAAAAAACAAAAAGAGAGAGAGAGAGAGAGAGAGAGAAAGAGAGAGGGAACAAACAATACACATAACATATTGATGCTCTTCCAGGCAGCATGTGTTCTAAGAAGCCCCAACGTGCCTACGACACTGATTCGGACACAATCAGCTGCCCGTTGAAATGTTCGCATCAGTATACCCTTTGCCCCAGAAAGAATAGTACATGTGCCGATGACTGTGATGATGGTGATGATGGTGATGGCTCGCCACTGGACCGAGCCAGAAGCGCACAGGGGAAGGCGAATTCCAGCCCTGACAGCCAGTCGCTGTCCAGAGGTATCCCGCATGCTCTCTACACCACACAAGTGATGAAAGCTGCATACCGTTTGGACGTTTAGCTTGCCGCCAGCGCTCGTGCCTGGAGGCATCTTAGAGCTTTGGGGTTCGAGATTCGTCGGGCACCGCGCGGCCTTTTCGGGAGGTCGCCTCGGACCATCTTGGAGCCACCCTGGCGACGAAAAAGAGTTCCAGGGAGCAAAATAGTGGGGGATGATTTTCTGACGATGGTCGCGACAAGGCGGGAGTGGCCTAGTCCCAGGAAGTAACAGAGACCCTACCAGGCAGCCAGCAAGCATTGTTCACTAAGATGACCCCGTGTGGCTGCGGCACCGCAGGGGATCTGTAGTCTCCGTTCGTCGATGTTGGTGACGTGGTGACAATCACGTTCACGATGACAGCGACATTTTTGCTGCCACTTGTTATTGTACCGTACTCGTTGCTGGTGTATTGGCGCTGTTTCTTGCCTGCCACGCTGCCGCCAGTCCTCTGCTGGTGACGCGCGCGAATCTCGGGCCGACTCATTGCGGTTCAGAGCGACCGAGCGTCACAGTTCCGTTGGAGAGCAAGCAGGCAGGGGTGAACGACACCGAAATCGCATATGCACTTGTTGCTGCAATCGCTCACTTTGTGAATCCGCTCATCCATTGACAGAAAAAAGTGAGGCGGCGTCCGGCATGACCGCCGGCGGCGTCGGCCAGGCCATAGCTGTGCCGTCTGGCCCTCAGACGCACGACCGCAAGATTTTGATAGTCAGCGACGGGTAGACATTCGGGAAGGCAGGAGCCCACTCAGGTGTCTGGAGGCATTGGGGGTGGGATTTGTAGGCTCCTGGAGATTTCGAAAGGCTTTCGGCGGTCTCGAGAGGTTCTCATGCGTTTCTGAAGGCATTCGGAGGTTTACCTGGAGTGTTTTTGCAGATTTCCAGAGTTTCCTGAGGTTAGGGGGTGCTTTTGAGTATAACCATTCGCAGCAGCAATCCTGCTCGGCCGCTTTGCCGTTTTGAGCAGAACCATTCGCAGCAGCGATCCTGCTCGGCCGCTTTGCCGTCGGAGTTGCGAAGGGCTGGCGCGCAAGAAAGTAGCTGCACATTTGGATACCGAAGCGGGGACTGTAATACATCTGCAGTTATCCAGACAAGCACAAGCAAGCACGAGCAATTCGCACCGGCGGGTCCGAGGTTAGATTTGATCAAGGTGCGGATGATGGGCGACGGCCGCTTGGTGGCCGCGGGCAAGCTGGACAAGCCCAGGCAAGCTATTACAAATGCTGCTGCTGATCAGTTGATGCTGGCTCCCAACCTAGACGTCGGATCCCCCATACAAGCCCAAGGGAGGGGATCGGGAGGAGGGGGGGTGGGGGGGGGGGGGGGGAAAGGGGAGGGGGAGAAGGGGAGAGGGGGAAGGGGAGGGAAAAGGGAAGGGGGAAGGGAGGGGGAATGGGATCAGGGAAAGGGAGGGGGAGAGGAGTGGGAGGGAGGTGGAGGAAAAGGAAACAGAGGGAAAGAGGGAGGGAGGGAGGGAGGGAGAGAGAGAGAGAGAAGGGGACGGGTATTGTGAAGGGAGGAGGATGGAAGATGAAGCGGAGGGGGGAGGGACGTATGAGGAGGCGGGGCCCTCTCATCGGGAGCCATCTCTGCGGGCTCGGGCCCAACATACGCAACTGCTCTGGGCCGCCCTGGCTGCCGCTGCTCCCGCGACCTCATCCTCTGACTTCTGCTTCCGATCCAGCCCGCCTTCCTGCTTCTCCTCTGGCTCGCCCGCTCCCCCTCCCCTTCCTGTTCCACCCTCTTCCCCTCTCTCGCCCCTCCCATTCCCCTCCCCGCCCCATACTTCCTTCCTCCCCTCTTCCGCTCTTCATCCAGCCCCTCCTCTTTCTCCTCCTCCTGCACCTCCTCCTCCTCCTCCTCCTCCTCCTCCTCCTCCTCCTCCTCCTCTCCTTCCTCCTCTCCCTCCTCTTTTTCCTCCTCCTCCTCCTCCTCCTTCCTCCTCCTCCTCCTCCTCCTCCTCCTCACCTCCTCCTCCTCCTCCTCCTCCTCCTCTCCTCCTTCCTCCTCCTCCTCCTCCTCCTCCTCCTCCTCCCCCCTTCTCCTCCCCCTTCTCCTCCTCCTCCTCCTCTTCATCATCCTCCTCCTCCTCGTGCGCCACCGTGCTCATCTGGCTCCTCATCCTCCTCCGCACCCCGTTGCTGCTCCTACCCCCAGACCCTCCTGCGCCCGCTGCTGCGGCCGCGTCTGCTATCCCAACGGCTGCTCATGCGACTCGGCCGGGGCCAATCTGCGGCCTCCTCCGCCCGCTCCTGTGGCCCCGAGCCGCGCGCCGAGCGCCCCCAGGCTCGCACCACGCCTCCGCCCCTCCTCGTCCTCGGCCTCCGTCCGCGGGCCTGTACTCTGCCCCGGCCGGTGTGCTTCCTCGGCTGGCCGGACCTCCCCCTTCTCGGGGGCAGCTCTAAGGGGGGGGATTGGCTCCGGAGGTGAGGCACCGATCCCGGTTGCCCATGGATCGCCGATGGGGGCCCGATGGCCCACCCCGCCCAGGAGCGAGCGGATTCATTAGTGGCTGTTTGGGGCCTCTCGCCGATCTCTTGGCGGTGCGTCGCCGATTCAGGCTCGATGTTCGCCCCCCGATCGGTTCCCCCTCCTCCTCCCGTAACTACGGTGGGGGCGTTCGGGAAGGAATGTGCCCAGGAGGCTTCAGACCCCTGATGGGGTCCTTGTCTGATGAGGGCGGCGGCGACATCCGTGGCCAGTCCACGATTGGAGCTCCTCCGGCTTCCAGTCCCCGGATTCCTTATCCAGTGGTTCCTTATCCAATACCCTCACCGTAGAACCCTCCAGCTCCTTCCGAGAAGCCCCCTGCCTTCTTTGAAGAAGGCCCTCTCCTCGCCGCGCCCCCACCCGCGCGCCGCCCTCTCTCTGCGGGACCCCTGCTTGCCGCACGGTGCTCCCAAGGCGCCTCGCTCGGTTCACCCGCCTGCATCCGTGGCTGCGCCTGCTCCGGGCCGCGCCGGGGCCAGCACGGTGCGCCGACGGGGCCGTGCTGGGCCCGCGCTGCACTGCAGGGCTCGGGCCGAGCGAAAGGTGTGAGAGGGGAGGGGGGGGTTACGACGTCGGGTGCATGCAGCGGGTTTCGGCCCCGCCACCGGGCCCCTTCCCCGATGCAGGCGCGCCCGCCTGCGCCGGGAGGCGCCGGGAAACCGGCTGCGGGGGAGCCGATGTATCCACCCTGCCCTGTGCCATCCTTCCCTCTCCTTCCCCCTCGGAGGGAAAGAGAGCCGACACGACGCCGCGAGGGAGCAGACGGAGACCCAGGCAGGGGGATTCGAAGAGGAGAAAAACACATAAACATAAACTTTTGGCGCTCCGCGCGGATTTCTTGGATCCGCGTTGGGCCCCCCCAGCGGCGCCTCCAGCGCCGCCCCTGGCGCGCTTCACGCGCCAGTGAAGGGGATCGGGCGCGGATCCAAGAAATCCGCGCGGAGCGCCAAAAGTTTATGTTTATGTTCTTTTCTTCTTCTCGGATGCGCCCCGAGGGCGCCCCGGCGCCACGAGAGAAGATCGGGCGATCGCAAACATGGATCAAGGGGGCGTGGATTAGCGACGGGTCCCGTTTCCACGGGAAATCGCGGATGTCCGCCGCAGAACGAGGCGGCACCGGCCGCATTCGGGGGAGGGCACCTCCCCCGATCCATGGATTAGGCGACCACGCGCCAAAGCCATGGATCGCTGATCCATGCTTGCGCGCTCCCGACACGAGAGCAGAGCCGCGGCGGGCGCTCGGCCACCGCCCTTCTCGGGCCTTTTTTGGGGGGACCTCCTCTGCGGATCGGGCGGCGCAGGCCAGAAGTGAGAGTCGACCGGGCCCTCCTCGATCCCTCGTGCTTGTGGGAGGCCCTGAGGAAGCAAGATGTGCCGGAACCCTGCGTCACCTTGCTGCAGAATTTCTACAACGACCAATGAGCCGCGGTGAAGACCGACGTCAGAAGCAGACAATTCTACATCGAGAGCGGCGTCAAGCAAGGGGACCCACTTAGCTCAGATTTGTTCAACGCGCTACTCGAGCACATCTTCTGGAACATTTAAACCAACTGGGACACAAAAGGGCTTCGGAATACAATTGGGAAGTGCACAGACGACGCGCCTGACCAACCTGAGGTTTGCTGACGACGTACTCCTCCTATCACTCAATCTACGGCAACTCAAGTGTATCTTGCGAGACTTCAAACACGAAGCCGCGAAGTGTGGACTTGTATTAGACCCCGACATAACGAAAATCATCACAAATGCTAGCAAGCGACAGGTTCGATGCATTACACACGTGGACACCGACGACGACAAGGTCGAAATCCTCAGCGCCGAGGAGAGCACCAAGTACCTGGGTCGCAAGCTGACGTTGCACGACTTCCACCACACCGAGCTCATTAACAGACTTGCAATGGGGCGGCGCAAATTCAAGCAGTTCCGCAACGAGCTCACAAATAGCCGGTACCCTTTTCGCAGCAGACTCAGGCTCTTCAGCGGGACGGTGACGCCAACGGCCACGTATGGCTGCGCAACGTGGACTCTCACCAAAGACATGCTCCTGACACTCCGACGCACCCAACGACGCATGTTACGCGTCATTGTCAATACCCCGAGGCGCCGACAGAGACAACCCCACACCAGCACCGACGAAAACACATCCAGCGTCGACGAAAACACAACCAACCCCGACACTGAACAGCAGGACGACAGCACAAGTAACGACAGCAAGTCCAGCGTCAGACAGCACCTAGACTTTGACGACGTCGACGTCGAATCCGACCTTAAATCCTGGGACAACTTTATTCGCAGGGCTACCCACGCTGCCTCAGACCCTGCGACGCGCGCACATGTGGAGGAATGGGTTGCAATGTTTCACAAGCGTAAATAGAGATGGGCTGGGCGAGATGCTACACAACCACACCACAATTGGGCCCGATTGACGGCGGCATGGAAACCTGATATTCATGACCCCCGGGCAGCACGACGCCAACAAGGCGGGCAGCGAAAACGGTGTAGTGACGACATCTCAGAATTTCAACAGAAGGCTTATGGTTTGGGTGAAGCTGGGGGGCTGAGTTCGAGGATTTCTATTCAGAGGCCCAAAAATCAAGCGCAAGCGGCGCCCCAGGACCCTCACAATTCACGACTACACTGGAAATCCAAGAAGCAACTTCTACAATCAAGAGAAAACCAATGACACATGTCGAAGTATCTTCATAGTGGTCACCTCTCACAACCGAAGTATCTTCATAGTGGTTATCCCCGACAGCCCAAGTATCTTCATAGTGGTTACCCCCGACAGCCCAAGTATCTTCATAGTGGTTACCCCGGACAACCGAAGTATCTTCATAGTGGTTACCCCCGACAACAGAAGTATCTTCACCAGCCTGCCGCACGCGGTTGCGCTAAAGCCAGACTGTGAGACCGAGTGCTCAGCAACATATGACAACCACGGAACACAGGGTCGTTCGTAACACATTGTATTGCACATTGGTTTAACTGGTTGCGGAAGGAGCGAGGACAGATGAGAATGAAAACGCGCGAGAGAGGCAAACGATTGAGGAAAGGGTGGACAGGAGGATGGGGGGCGTGGGAAACGAAGGAGGGGCTGGGCGTAACGAAAGTTGAAACGAGGATGACGGCAGGAGCAGACGGAGGAAAAGCATGCACACGACGTCTGAGGTAGGACTACTAGGCAAAGGCTCCTCAGAGAACCCGTTGGTCCTTCCCAGGAAAATAGATATCGGCAGACGCACTCTCATGTCAAGCACGTACTCATGCATTAACATATGGTCGGACGTCTTGGAAGTCCATAAGCAAGCAACTCAACTCATACTCAGACTCGCTCACACTCAGATTCACAAGAACCGTGTGTCGCCAGAGCGTCTTGGAGACATTTAAGTGAATCCCCGTTGGGCGTCTTGGAATTGTGTCAGCGTGTAACGCCTTTGTGATCATTTTTCTTGAGATTCGCTCCGTGTTTGTGTTTCGGGCTCGAACGTTGCGGCTTTCATTTTCGCCATCTCCCTTTACGGTGATGTGATGTGACGACAATGTCGTTTCCATATGTGTTTCTGCCGCTTGCGGCGTTCCATATCTGTGCAGCCTTGCGGCTGCCACCGACGGGAGTGTGGCCGCAGTGCACGCTCTGCGTCGAGATGGAGGGAGGAGGGCGCCTCGACCTAGACGCGCTGCTCAGGCAGTACAGGGCCGAGGAGGTCGAGGCGGCGCCGGCGTTCCTGGAGGCGTTCGACGAGATCCGCGCAGACGACGCGGAGTTCGACCACATCCGCGCAGACGACGCGGAGGTCATCGACGCGATCGAGGCCGCGCTGCTGGACGACGTCGCCGAGCAGCCTGGCATCAAGCGGTCCCGCCGCGAGTGGGCAGCTCACGCCAGGGCGGCGAAGAGCAAGAAGATGACCGACAAGCTTCGTCGGGACATCAAGGCCAGGGGTCTTCACGTAACTTGAGCTCGTTTCCCGTTTCCCCGTGGATCCATCCTCGCTTCAGAGGTGGGTCCATGGGGAACGAGCTCAGGGCACGCGAAAACTCTTGGCCTTGAGAAGGCTGTGGCGCTAGAGCGCGATCAGACGGTCAGGCAGGTCTCCACGTTGATACCAGCGGCTGCGAGTCTTCTTGGCTCGACGAGCGGCGCGGCGGTGGGGAGGAAGAAGATCTACAACTTGAAGGCAACGTGGGGATACTCGAGCATCCAGCGCACTTACTGCCCCTCTCCTCCCCCCCCCTTTCCCCAGACACCTTGGACTAAAGAAGGTAGCTTCAGAACTTCAGACTCCAAGGCCTCAGAGCTTTAGAGTCTGAACTTCAGAGCTTCAAAGGGTGACTGGGGATATAGGGGAGGGGGAGGGGCAGTTCGCGTGCTGGCGCAACCGTGTCTCCCCCATAGGCGGAGGATTTCAAGCTTGCGGCCAAGGCAGCGTTCATGCCAAGCAAGGCGAAGGTGGCGATTGGCGTCCAGCACCGTCGCCTCATCGCCATGGCGGCGCGCGTCACGAAGCAGAGGCAGGCCGTGGCAGTCGACAGTTTCTTGAACAAGAGCAAGGAAGAGCTGCGCTTTCCGAACCGCGCAGTTCACGTCGCTATCGGGCACATGTGGGACGAGGTGGAGGTGAAGCACAAGTGGAAGCCGTCGGCTAGATACAGGACGTTCGAGCAGCAGGTCAAGATGCCAGTTGTCGTCCAGCGGGCGACCTTCAACACGACCCTCTTCGACATGGCGCGCAACAGGGCGGCGCAGTACCAAGAGTACTACTTGGCGCAGGCGGTGGAGATCGACGGCACCAAAGCTAAGGACATCTTGCCAGCTGTTAGACAGGGCCTTCCGGCAAAGTTCGATGTGCTGGACGTCGAGAACTTCGCGAAGTCGGCCGACAACTACACGAGCTACACCTACATGCCGTGCCCTGACAGGGCCAGCAGCAACATCAACATTATCAAGAAGTTTGCGACTGTGATCGACACTCAGATTGTGCGCGAGGCGGGGCATCACATTTTGTTCTGGCCCGACACCTGCGGGATTCACGCGCACCACCGGGGCAAAATGAAGATGAAGTCGCTTCGGCGGCACACCATGAGGCAGTTCGCCATCGTATCGATGAACAAATACCGTGGTCGACTACAGCGCAACATTTTAGGAATCGAAGCCATCGTGAAGCGCGAGCTGACGAGGGAGATCGGGCCGCCACCACCTTGGGCCCACTCTATGACAGCAGTTGTGGACCTGCTTTTCAACGCGGAGGACGAGTACCACCGCCATCAGGGCAACGAATCGCAGATGCTCAGGGACCTCAGGGAGCTTTGCAAAGTTGCGAACGGCAGTTTGAGCAATGATAAGTTTATTCATCATTGTTGGGATTTCGAGACGTCCAGGCCGTGCTGCCGATCGCTGGACGAGTCTATTGACAAAGTAATCATTCACGCTTCGCGGATCACCATCAACCCCCATGGGCCCATGACCGTCGGGCGTTTTCTCCTCCGTGCCAACCTCTTTCGCTTCTTCCGCTCCCTTCAATCCTCCTCCCTCCTCTTCCGTGCTCCTTCCCTCCGTCTCCTCTTCCTCCTCCTCCTCCTCCTCCTCCTCCTCCTCCTCACCGTCCTCCTCCCCATGGCTGCTCCAAAGCTTCGCGCGTGTTTCTTTTTTTCGAAAAGCTGAAGCTCTTGGGGGAGGTCTTGGAACATCTTGGGAGGCGGTCAAAGTCAAAGCGTCAAAAGAGATCTCTTGAAGAGAATCTTGGGACCCTGGGATCTTGTGGAGTCCTGGTTGGGGCGTCTTGGATTTGGAAGCGTCTTGGACTCTTGGAGCGTCTTGGAGCGTCTGGAGTCTGTTGGGCCCCCGCCCCCTCCAGGTCCAGAGGGGAGGAGGGGGGAAGGAAGAAGGAGTGAGGGGACGAAGGAAGAAGGAGGTTTAAAGTTTTGAGAGTGAGGGTACCTTCACGCACGCCCGAAGGGCTGTTGGATTCAGCACTCCGTACACGCACTTTATGGAACTTCTGATCCCCGTCCAGCGGAGAGCAGGTGGACCAATACCTTATCAACATCAAAAGGACATTGCTTCGCAGGCTCTATCACAAGATCGGCCTGGACTGCTTCACTGGCACGTTGTACGCTTCCGACTGGGACACGTCAAACCCACCTGATGTGAGCATTGGCGACGAGGCACTTGATGATTACATGAAGCACGTGTTTCGGGCACGTGCGAAAAAGGTGAAAGAATACTATGAGTCAGAGGAGATGATGCGTGAGCTGGTGGTCTTCATGGCGATCCTCGAGGCTGCAGATGCTCGCCTCCTGTACCCTATGCTGGGAGATGCCATTCGTGACGACGGTGACCGCAGCAAGCTCGACATGCTCCTCGACACAGACTCGTTGATAGGCCAATTCACCGAGGACATGCTCGGCTTGCTCAACGTGTGGGACAACGGCGACGCCTCAAGGCGTCCGTGGATGCTGCTGGACATCATGAAAGTGCCCATGCAATGCCAGATATTCTCACGATGGGCTCGCAGTCAAATTTTGAGGTTGAGCTCGGTCATGAGTCGTCGCTACGAGGTTCGGTTTTCTGCACTGCCGTATTCGATGTATCCTTTATCTAGCCCTCGAGCGTCGGTAGCTGCGAAGCGAGCCACGGCCGAGAGGACACGTGCACTTGCTGAGCATGGTGAGATGCTAGACTGCTACACCAGAGGCATTCTCAGGCTTTTCCCCACGGTGAACGACATGCTCTCGCTAAAATGCCAGATGGTTTTGAACAGCGACTTCCGCGCGCACTGCTACGGCTCCGACCAGGTGGAGAGGCTCAACAGCGAGTACACCGCTCGCCACCATGTGCGAGCACCTGGGAGGAACGCAGTGAACGCTGAAAGGGAACACTTGCTTCATCAACTTACAATGGTCCATCGTCGTCATGGTGGCGAGCATCCGCTTGCAGTGCCGCGTAGAGTTAAGGACAAGGAGTCTCTGCAAGAAGTTGACGTGTTATGTTCACCTTTACTTGCGTGTATTGAGCGTCCGCAGTTGCAGGACGCCGACGCGATCGCGGAGGCGGCCCCTGGGACACCGGTGGCAATGGAGATTGACGACGCTCCTCGTGGTGATGATCAGATTGTCGTTTTCAGAGGCGTTGCAGCTGAGCCCGATTATGAAGAAGAAAGACCACCAGAAGGCGCCAATTATTTTGAGGAGGCAGTCGTTGTTCGCAAGCCGATCGATGAGCACCAACATCCTGGACATCCTGGAGGCGATCCCCACAGAGTGCCGAAGAATAGACGAGGCTTGAACCCCTACTTGCTCGAGAAGAACACGTACATGAGGGACGCCAAGAAGGCCAAGGGGTCGAACTTGACCCCAGCAGAGGTCGATGCATACACAAAGGAGTTCAAGTTGATGTGGGCGAACAGGGATGCAGATACCTACCGAGAAGCTTATCAGCTTTGGAGGCAAAATCACGAAGGGGATGATCAACAACAACCTGGCGAGACTGACATTCCGAAGTACGAGCAGATCTGGGGCGGCGGTGAGCCTTCCACGCCGTTGACAGCGCAGGAGATGCACGGCTACGTCAGCGAGCACGGTTGGCCGTCCGACGCGGAGGTTCAGGACAGGGACATGAGCGAGAGGAGGATCGCAAGCGACGCGACGGTCACTTTCGACTCGGACGAGGTCGCCAACGCGGATCCCTGGGGCACTGGGAGAAGCGCACGGAACATCCCGAGGGCGTGGGCCAGGGTACCCCAGGCGATGGACATCATCGAGAAGGGCATCTTCAACTGGTTCCTCTCCCTCGGCGCCGAGAGAGCAGATGCGTCCGACATCATGCTGGTTGCCGAGGGACCGCTGGCAGATGGTGGTGGATTCCAGCGCAAGGTCGCCATCGTCAGCGACGTCACCTACAACCCGCGCGTCTTCGACGTGGTCGCGAACAGCTTCGTGCAGGAGGACCTCGCCACTAGCGAGGCTTGGTCGGGTTCGGAATGAGGCGGAGGCGTCTCGCCCTGGGCCCGAGACCTGGAAACGCTGGGAGGAGGAGGAGGAGGAGGAGGAGGAGGAGGAGGAGGAGGAAGAGGAGGAGGGAGAGAGGAGGGGAACTGGGAGACGGGAGGAGGAAGAAGAGGAGGAGGAGGAGGAGGAGGAGGTTTTTTTTGCAACCAACTGGCCACTGGGACCTTAGGGATCCTAAGTCCTAAGCCACAGGAGTTAGCACGGGCCCAGGGCGAGTCTGAGGCTCTCCCTTATTCTGAACCTTAGGCGCTCGTTCTACCAGCCATCGTGAGCATCGACGCTCGCGCGAATAGAGTCAGTGGCCAATATCAGGCACTTGACTCCATGACCTCAGACGAGTGGATCTGGGGCATAATCGAACAGCTAGGTCGGGTCGATTTGTACGAGGCTACGTATACCATTGACTTCGAAGATGGTAGCCTCCGCAGGTCTGTGATTACAGCGGTCACACACATAGGTCGCGTATGGCATGATGGGATGAAAGAGCCACTGAAGTCTTCCAGAGCGAAGGCCGCCAGGACGCGTGAGCCTACTATTCGAGAAGATGATCCTTTCGGCGACGCAGCTGTAGAACGAGCAAGTCAAGTTTTAGATAGAGGTCGCGGGAGGAGTCGTGGCCGCGGCACAGGCCGAGGGCGGGGTCGCGCTCCTGGAGGACGCGGTCGTGGGCGAGTAGCTGCAGCAGCAGCTCTTGTTGATGAAGGCCATCCTGCGTTGCTGGATGCCGACCCCGCCGAGGAGCCGGCAGGGGAGCACGACATCGACCTTGCCGACACCGATTGTGCATCCTCGATCCAGTCCGTGGAGGAGATGGAGGCAGCGTACGACGAGAAAATACCACCAGCTCTCGTTGAGTCCGAGCTTCCAGAGCCAGCCGTAGACCCTAGGGATCGCCCTGCACTGGAACCGCCTGAGGAGCCGCGTGAAGACGCAGCTGACCTTCACGGTGAAGCAGTTGCGTTCGTCGCCGACGCTGTTGGCGCCGCCGACCATGATGTAGGTGCTGCAGCCGCTCCTGCGGAGGAGCCCGAGCCTGCCATTCCCGACGCCATTCCCGAGGCACTTCCCGAGGCACTTCCCGACGTCATTCCCGACGCCGTTCCCGACGCCGTTGCAGCTCCGCCAGCGCCATGGGAAGCCCTTTCGGAGATTTCGCCGATGGGTTATTTTTACATCGGTGGCAGGCGCCAGCTGCGCATTGAGAGAGGTAAGCCAGCGCCTGGCTCGATTTACATACACTGCTACAGGCATCGTGGCAAGTGCTCGTTGCTCGTGACAGAGCACTCGTGCGGCACGGACCTGGATATATGCAAGTGGCTGTTCGACGTTCCAGAAACGCCTGCTGGCGCCACGAACGAGGAGGCGAAGACATTGGTCAACCGCCATTTAAACCTCGGAAGGGCGCGATGGGCTGCGAAGCCCAAGGCCAAAGCAAAGGCTAAGGCCTTCTGCGATGGACATGGCGACAGGCCATAGCCAGTCTCGAGTCGCGAGCGTGTAGCTCGCGTGCTGCTGCAGTTGGCGAGCTGCTGCTCGCTAGAAGGAGAGGAGGAAGGAGGAAGGAGGAAGGAGGAAGGAGGAGGAGAGAAGGAGGAATAATGAGGAAGAGGACCATGGCGAGACCAGCAGCTCAGCCTTGGCCCAGCGTTTATCTGAGACTGTCCTGCGAGCGCTCCTTGCTCGGCTTGAAACAACGAAAGCAAGACCAAAGGGAAGGCATGAGCGGGAGGGAAGGGGGGGTGAGAAGAAGGTGAGGGTCTGTTCCCAAGCGACTCAGACCTCATCAACGAGATGAGGTCTGGAGTTGGGTGTCTCGGGGGGGGGCTCTGTGGGCCGCTCTGACCGCTCGCGCCCCCCCCCCGTCCAGGTCCACGGGGAGGGGGTAGGGGGAGGGGTAAACCCCTCCCCGAAGGGAAAAAGGGAGGGGTGGAAGAGGAAACGCCTTAAACCACCGACGCCCAGAGGGCTCGTGGGATTGCCTCGATCAGGGAAGTGGACAGCACACAGAGGAAGCCAGTATGAGACATCTTGGGATTTCTTGAGCCCTCTTGGAGGTCATGTTGGGCTCTCCGAGGCGCTCTTGGACTCTTGGAGTCATCTTAATCAGTGCCCCCCCCAAGAGGCCAACATGTGGCTAAAACCTTAGTGCAAACAATGGTTTGACATTATCGCCGAGGCCTCTGGGAGCACCTTGGGTGCCTCTGGGGGGTCTCTTGGGGCCTCTTGGGGGTCTCTTGGGGGCCTCCTGGGGGCCTCTTGGGGGGCCTCTTGGGGCCATCTTGGGGCCATCCTGCGGCCTCTTGGGGCATCCTGGTGGCCTCTTGCGGCCATCGTGGAGGAAATAGATCAAAGAAGAGGGGAGCTTTAATTAGCGCTGCCCCCTCAGGAGGCCAAAATGGGACCCAAACCATAGTAAAATCAATGATGTTGGTTTCCTCGCCGAGGCCGTTTTGGACGCTCTGACCGCTCGCGGCCCCCCCCGTCCAGGTCAGTGGGGAGGGGGTAGGGGGAGGGGTAAACCCCTCCCCGAAGGGGAAGAGGGAGGGGTGGAAGAGGAAACACCCTAAACCACCGACGCCCAGAGGGCTGGTGGGATTACAGATTGCAGTTACTAAGTTACAGGTGTCGACAGTCGAAGAATAGAGGAGACGCCTTCGGCGAAACACAGCCGCCCCTGCTGTTGTGACTCCGTACTGGTTTGGGAAGCCTTCGGGGGCTGCACAGCTGTCCTGGGTCGGCGGTCGGCGCTGGAGCCCAGCACCCAGCGCCCCTCCCGTCCAGGAGGAGGAGGAGGAGGAGGACGACGAGGAAGAAAAGGAGGAGGAGGAGGAGGAGGAGGAGCAGGAGGAGGAGGAGGATGAAGGAGGAGAAGGAGGAGGAGGAGGAGGATGAGGATGAGGA